TGAAAAACCCAAAATGCTTCTTTTTTTTTTATGTCAAATCTAGGGCAACAACGAGATGGACTTGCACAGATGACAGCAAAGAAATGAACGAGATACTAAAGTCCCTGTACGAATCAGCGTTTAGTGAGCCGACAGTCTAAATGATTTTTTATGGCCGTGTGAAGGTTCAGCAGCCCTATCAGACCTTCAAAGAGTATTTAATAAGGCTGGTTCCTCCTTATGGAAATGAAAAAAATAGAAAAAAATTATTAACAATATGTAAAATTAGTTAAGAATATAAAACACTTAAACATGAAATTAATCCCACTTGAAGCAAAGAAATGAAAAATAAAATATTTAAATAGCGACTCAAACGTAATATGTACACAATACGTAGTGGAGAATGGTGCCGTGGTGATGTTCTGGGCAGCGTAGCTCTGAATTGTGGTTTGGAACACCGAACCGTTGTTGGTGACGATGGGGGGTGGGGGGGGGTCACAGGTGGACGTGACTGTTGACACACTGAGTAGACAGTGACCCCAACACGAGTAGAGATTCTGACGAACAGAGGTACTGGGATCCTCTGACCACAACACTCGTGAAGCAGTTGAGTCGCCAGTAGAGAACCACCATGAAACGTTGGTGGGGTGATAACTGGGGAACCGCTGTTAGAATGGTGTGTAGCTGAATGCGATTCGGCTACGAGGGATAGGGGGACCAGTGTAAGTTCAGATGCTGGATTGAATATAAGATCCTTTGAATATCTATGCTGCCCTTCTCATCTCACAGTGTCGGATGACCCAAGCCGACAATCAAGGCTAAAATAAAGAAATCCAAAATTACACACCAATCGAAAAATCACTCGCCTGATTGGCGAGTGATTTTAAAATCAACGGTGAGGATTAAATGATGGCGTTACACTACCTAAGCTAGAATTAGAACATGAAGAATTAGAGAAACAAACCCTCTTGTTTAAACCAAATTAACCCAAACACATAATAAATTAAACAGGAGTGGAATGAATATTTGTAAATTTGATGGGAGTCGAAAGTCAAGTGACTGACAACCGGTCGGAGGGACACTCGTCACCTCCCACCGGGTGCAGAAGGATAGAGGGGGGGAAGAGGGGTAGCGAGAACGAATCACTCACCTAACAGAACAAGCAGACTGCCCATCAGAATACTATCACCATTCTTTCATACTTCCACCACTCCTATCTAATGAACTTTTCCCTCACAGACCAAGACTCAAAATGTGATTAATTAAAAAATTTCTGATATTATCCTCATACCACAAGACTTTGAAAAAGCAATACATGACATGCCTATGCACTCTGCCCCAGGCCCAGACTTATGGGACTCCGTGTTCATCAAGAACTGCAAGTAGCCCCTTACACGTGCCTTAAGTATTCTATGATGGAGAGGGAGCATAGACACACGAGTCATTCCAGTCACTAAAAACAACAGGCATAGCCCCACTCCACAAAGGTGGCAGTAAAGCAATTGCAAAGAATTACAAACCGATAGCATTAACATCCTACATCATAATCTTTGAAAGTGTTCTAAGAAGCAAGATCGCCACTCAATTAGGTATCCATCAGTTGCACAACGCAGGGCAGCAAGGGTTTAGAACAGGTCATTCCTGCCTATCTCAACTACTGGACCACTATGACGTAGTCTTGGGTGCTTTGGCCCACAAACAAAATGCAGATGTAGCATACACAGACTTTGCGAAAGCCTTCAACAAGTGCGATCATGGTGTAATAGCTTACAAAATGAGTGAAAAAAACGAATAACAGGAAAAGTTGGTAAATGGATTTATAACTTCCTAACAAATAGAACACAAAGAGTAATAGCAAACAGAATAAAGTCTGAGGCGGCTACAGTACTCGCTCCCATCCTGTTCCTCATCCTCATATCTGTCATAGACAAAGATGTAAGCCACAGCACCGTGTCCTCCTTTCCGGATGACACCCGAATTTGCATGACAGTGTCATCTATCGAAAACACTGCAAATCTCCAAGAGGACATCAACCAAATCTTTCAATGGGTCGCAGAAAACAATATAAAATTCATTGAAGACAAATTTCAATTACTCTGCTACGGAAACCTCGAGGAAATTAAAACTGTACTGGAGTATAAAACAAATTCCAACTACACAATAGAGCGAAAAACTAATGTGAAAGACCTGGGAGTGATAATATCAGAATTTCACTTTCAAAGATCACATGTGCTAGAAAAATGACAGGATGGATAAAATGAGAACCTTCAATACTCCCATGATGATTCTCTTCAAATCGCTTGTTCTCTCTAGGCTGGAATACTTCTGTACACTAACGGCCCCTTTTAAGGCAGGAGAAATTGCAGACCTTGAGAATATACATAGAACTTTCACGGCACATATAAATACGATAAAGCACCTAAATTACTGGGAACGGTTGAAGTCCCTTGACCTGTACTCCTTGGAAAACAGGCGAGAGAGAGATACATGATAATATATACTTGGAAATTTTTAGAGGGACTAGTCGCAAATCCGCACACGAAAATCACTCCCTAGGAAAACAAAAGACTCAGCATGAGATGCAATATCCCCGCAATGAAAAGCAGGGGCTCCACGAGTACGCTCAGAGACAACACAAGAAGCGTCAGGGGCCCAAGACTGCTCAACTGCCTCCCAGCATTTATAAAAGGGATTACCAATAGACCCCTGGCTGTCTTCAAGAAGGCGCTAGACAGGCACCTAAAATCAGAACCTGACCAGCCGGGCTGTGGCTCGTACGCCGGTTTACGTGCGGCCATCAGTGACAGCCTGGTTGATGAGACCCTGATCCACCACGAGGCCTGGTCACGGACTGGGCCTCGGGGGCGTTGACTCCTGAAACCCCCTTCAGGTATAAGATTTTCTTTCGACGCTCTTCTTACATAGGTTGTAGGTTGTCCCAATACTAGTTCCTACAATAGTGCAAAAATAAAGTTCACACTTACCTTCAATATATTTATTACAGATAGGTGTTATGCCCCTTGGAGGGGAGGTCAGACAGAAGACGGTGCTCGGTACACCTGGCTTGTGGCAAGTAAGTCGAGTGACTATGAGCAACTTGAAGACTTCCTTCCTGCTGGTGATTACTGTGGGTCCTGCCTCACACCCGGCCACTGTCGCCCTCGATGCTGTCGTTGTGACTGACGGGATGTGTTGTTCGTCCAGTCAGTGCTAGTTATCACTGCTAACAGTCAGGTTGTCCTGGACAGCGCGTGTTGCTCGTCCAGTCAGTGCTAGTTGTTAGCATCAGAAGTCAGAACGTCTTGGACCTGTCAACTCACGCCTGGACCTCTCAACCCATGCCTGGACCTGTCAACCCATGCCTGAACCTGTCAAACCCACGTCTTCACCAGTTGCTCTACATTCTCGTATTGCGGACCTGGCCACCACCGATATACTGACACAAGTGTTCCGTATTTATAATATATGAAAACAGAATGTGGAAATAGACACATTTATTGTTATATTTGTAAAAAAAATATATATATTTTTATCCTCGTTTACAGATAGCAGAAGACGATTACATGATACTTTCCTTTGTTAATTTTGTCTTAATATTGACAATCTTCCACTAGCATGCATCATGGCTACTGCATGGCACAACAACACACACTTCTCTAGTACAGTTTACAGATACTTAATGGCATCTACAGTATTAGCTCTATGTAAAGCTAATAATTACAGAGTTTTCCCTGTACCACCATTCCTTTGTGTTAGGAATATGTATACCGGCTTTCCTATGTGTTAGATAAGGAATGTGACGATGTTAGATGTGCTGGTGCTGCAGTACGGGAAGAAGCTCGCCCAGGCACCCGAGATGTCAGTTTCCCTCATGCGTAAATATTTTAACATTCGATTTGTCTTAGGAAACTTGTCCATCCGTGCCATCTTACTTTCTCTCTGGCTATATAAGCCGCATTCCCACTTAATTTCGTATCTGATCCAGTGCTAACCTAACCTAACCTGATGTAAACAGTGTAAGTTAAGAATTTATGTATATATATATATATTTATTTATATATCCTGGTGAGCACTAAACTCTCGTTGATCAATAAGCGCTTGTGTAATGTGGTTTAATCAGATTTGATCCCATATACGTATATTTTGTCCAGATTCAGACAATATATTCACTGTTAACATTTCTCAGCTGATATGTATGATTGATCAACTAGAGTTATCCAAAATATCCAGTACTCACCAAGGGAAGATGGCTGCTCTTCGAATTTCATAGATTAAAGATTGGTAGGTAAGACATATGGGCAACAGTTAGGCAACTTTAATCCGAAACGTTTCGCCTACACAGTAGGCTTCTTTAGTCGAGTACAAAAGTAGGCAGGAACAGTAGAGATGTGTAGACGATGTAATCAGTCCATCACCTTTGTAGTCGGAGATGTGAAGTTGTCTGTCTGAAACAATCAGATTGTTTCAGACTGTGGAGCAGAACTCTGCAGGCTGAGGGACAGACAACTTCACATCTCCAACTACAAAGGTGATGGACTGATTACATCGTCTTCACATTTCTACTGTTCCTGCCTACTTTTGTACTCGACTAAAGAAGCCTACTGTGTAGGCGAAACGTTTCGGAATAAAGTTGCCTAACTGTTGACCATGTGTCATACCTACCAACCTGTCGGTATTGTATACCATATTAATATTCATCGATTAAAGATTACAAGACGAACAACAAAATCGTTCGTTGTGACAAGTTGGTAGCCCCTAGTTGCTTCCCAGAAATTGCTGTTATTTAGCAGATGCTATAATCAAACTTACTGAAATTTAATTAGTCTAGACTAGCACAAGTCAGTGTCGACTACCAAGAGTGAAATGCTGTGCTAGATTTAGCTACCATGATGTCAGCTAACGTTCAGATTATGTAAAATTAGCCTTGGCTATTTTGAGCTTGTGTGAGGTTACCCTAGGCTAGATTCAGTTTATTTAAAGGCTAGGTTGGGTGAGGTTAGAAACCAAGGAGTCAAGATTACATAGAATATGACAGCACAGTATCTAACTTCTAAGTGTCAGCCTGAAGCTCGTCCGTTCATAGAATCAATCATGCTGAGTTCATTCTGTCAAATAATCAGCGATTTCATTTCAATTCTTCCATAAACGGTGAGCATGAGAGCCAAGTTGCAGAATGAGATTCGACTGTGGACATCATTCCACTCTGTATGAAGCTTCACCGTTTATACACAGAGCAAAACGCTGGCCCAGTTAGAGCTTGTTAATCATCATTTATATTTGATTTAAACTTTGTGAAGAACTGTGTTAAACACTGCAGGTGTCTGAGGCCGAGTTGTATTTGTGGTGTGTGCAAATCGTCATGTACTATTATTTATTACAATAAAGTTGACTCCAAGTTTCTGTAGTGGTTTGATTTAACACCTCCCAGAAATTTTTATCAGAGACGCTAAAAGGGTTTTCAGTTATAAGAAAAACCTTCCATTTATGGTAGAATAAAAGCCAGGATGAGAGAGAAAAAGGTGAAAGTGTTGCAAGGTGGAGTAAATATAGAGAGTGTGGAAAATTGCATTTATCTGAATGTATCATTATATACATAACAGTAAATGAAAAGATAATTATTATTTATCAGTTAGACATGTAGGAATTTGGGACACCTAGGTCGCAAAAAATGTCCCCACTGTCATATCCACAAGTTGCTCTGGACCTATTAATTACCAATGAAATATGTATAACCAGGAATACTGGTAAATATATAAATTTTGTGGACTGTATATTAAAAATAATAAATGGTTATATATATACACAATTACATAACAGAAGGAGAATATCTTAATATCACTCACCAATTTGACTGGAGATTAATGTGTCATGTACAGGACCCCCCCTTTTGCCTACATTTATGAAAAATTTACTGGCCAGAATTTAAACATAAATTAGACAGATTATCTGAGGTTCCTGGAGTTGTCCTATCCTGTCGACTGATACTCAAGTTATGCAGGAATGCACATCCAACAATTTCGTCTCCTATTTGAGAGGTGTCAGCCCAAATTTAACCTGTAGAGCACGAAAAATTCTTCCCATTACACAATGTCTGTTACTCTCAATTCAAACAAAAATGGCGACTCCTTTCTCCCCAGGCTATGTTTCCCATTTCCCATGACATAAATATTATTAAATACAGTATGGCCATCTATATACATATAAATACTGAATTTCTGGAAAATATATACAGTATTTTCCACAGAGAGAATATAAGTCCTTTGTAACTATTTCTTAGTACTAACCTCACAGTGTCCTTCCTGACCGTCGTGGATAGACTGCTGAATAAAGAATGCTATTTACAATAAGCCAGACCTGCCATACTTTACTGACTCCACCTCCTGCACTCACTGACAAGACTGATAATATGCGCCTTTCGTATAGTGAATTTCTTTCTGGCAACATAAAATAGTTTCGTATAGCTGGTTAAGGGGTTGTAATCCTTTCGACTACACAAGAGTCATTAACATAAGAATATTTTAATTCCTATTTTTAAGGATTAAAGCAAACTCTCAGCTTATACGCTGAGAGTAGTACATCTCGGTGTATATTTCCTAGTTTCATCTCAATTTTTTGAAGGGGTATATATAAATTAAAAAAATTAAAAAAATGTTTTTGGATATACACAAATAACCCGCACATAAAAGACAGAAGCTTACGACGACGTTTCGGTCCGACTTTGTCAATGGTCCAAGTCGGACCGAAACGTCGTCGTAAGCTTCTGTCTTTTATGTGCGGGTTATTTGTGTATTGTTCCAGTCACGGTATTGTGCCTTTTTGTTATTTATTGTTTTTGGATATACATATATATGTCGTGGCGAAGAGGTAAAACTTACGATTTTGGCTTAATCCTTAAACGGTCCAAACGTATATATACGTTTTTTTTCAACATCTGAAAGTATGTAAAAAAATGTTGATCTTCTTTTTTGTTTTACATTTGAAAACGTGTAAAAAAAACTTTTACCTACATTTTTTTTGCTACATTTAAAAATATGTAAAAAAAAGTAGATCTACTTTTGTAACACTACGAATTTGAACGTTGATTTGTAAATACCAACGCTCTTCTTGCCGAATAAGGCAAGCGAAAAATTGTGTATGCAATAAAATCATTCTGAACCAAACGAAAAATATATATATTTCATTGTGTTTGTTTATTAAATTATTGTAAACTTATCTAAATTACATTTAGTTGGATTAGGCTAAATTAAATTGCTTTTGTTATAATAAGGTTAGGTAAGTTTTCTAAGGTTCTTTTGGTACAAAATTATTAATTTTTACATTAACATAAATGAAATAAATATTTCTTAAAAAGTAGAAAGGACTTAATTTTAAATGAGTTCTTGCTAATTGACCAATTTTACCTATTCAGCACGGCATATTATATATATATATATATATATATATATATATATATATATATATATATATAATATATATATTTTATTATTATCACACTGGCCGATTCCCACCAAGGCAGGGTGGCCCGAAAAAGAAAAACTTTCACCATCATTCACTCCATCACTGTCTTGCCAGAAGGGTGCTTTACACTACAGTTTTTAAACTGCAACATTAACACCCCTCCTTCAGAGTGCAGGCACTGTACTTCCCATCTCCAGGACTCAAGTCCGGCTTGCCTGTTTCCCTGAACCCCTTCATAAATGTTACTTTGCTCACACTCCAACAGCACGTCAAGTATTAAAAACCATTTGTCTCCATTCACTCCTATCAAACACGCTCATGCGTACCTGCTGGAAGTCCAAGCCCCTCGCACACAAAACCTCCTTTACCCCCTCCCTCCAACCTTTCCTAGGCCGACCCCTACCCCGCCTTCCTTCCACTACAGACTGATACACTCTTGAAGTCATTCTGTTTCGCTCCATTCTCTCTACATGTCCGAACCACCTCAACAACCCTTCCTCAGCCCTCTGGACAACAGTTTTGGTAATCCCGCACCTCCTCCTAACTTCCAAACTACGAATTCTCTGCATTATATTCACACCACACATTGCCCTCAGACATGACATCTCCACTGCCTCCAGCCTTCTCCTCGCTGCAACATTCATCACCCATGCTTCACATCCATATAAGAGCGTTGGTAAAACTATACTCTCATACATTCCTCTCTTTGCCTCCAAGGACAAAGTTCTTTGTCTCCACAGACTCCTAAGTGCACCACTCACTCTTTTTCCCTCATCAATTCTATGATTCACCTCATCTTTCATAGACCCATCCGCTGACACGTCCACTCCCAAATATCTGAATACATTCACCTCCTCCATACTCTCTCCCCCAATCTGATATTCAATATTTCATCACCTAATCTTTTTGTTATCCTCATAACCTTACTCTTTCCTGTATTCACCTTTAATTTTCTTCTTTTGCACACCCTACCAAATTCATCCACCAATCTCTGCAACTTCTCTTCAGAATCTCCCAAGAGCACAGTGTCATCAGCAAAGTGCAGCTGTGACAACTCCCACTTTATGTGTGATTCTTTATCTTTTAACTCCACGCCTCTTGTCAAGACCCTCGCATTTACTTCTCTTACAACCCCATCTATAAATATATTAAACAACCACGGTGACATCACACATCCTTGTCTAAGGCCTACTTTTACTGGGAAATAATTTCCCTCTTTCCTACATACTCTAACTTGAGCCTCACTATCCTCGTAAAAACTCTTCACTGCTTTCAGTAACCTACCTCCTACACCATACACTTACAACATCTGCCACATTGCCCCCCTATCCACCCTGTCATACGCCTTTTCCAAATCCATAAATGCCACAAAGACCTCTTTAGCCTTATCTAAATACTGTTCACTTATATATATATATATATATATATATATATATATATATATATATATATATATATATATATATATATATATATATATATTATATATATATATATATATATATATATATATATATATATATATATATATATATATATATATATATATATATATATATATATCAGTATGAAGGACTCATCCAGTACGAACGATTCATTCATTCAGTGGAAAACTAACAGGTCGGCCCCAAGGTTCAAGCCTCCCGTCCATTTTTCATTTACCGTCGTTTATTACTGCTTAGAGTTCATAATCCATATGGCTAGAGGGAAGTAAGAATAGATTTATTGCTAAAGCTCCTGGGCTGTGGGGAGGAGTCAGTTGGGCTACAATTGGTGCCACTGACGGACTTATGTACATTATTATTTTAAACAAAACTAAACGCTAAGTCCACCAGTGTCATAAAGCGCTGTAGAAAATATGTACAGAAGTACATATTTATTTTCCTTATTAGAAGCCTGGTGGCTCAGATGCTCTAACGTTGGACACGTTAATCTCGGGACCACCGTTGAAGCCTCCCGTTCATTTTTTCCGGTTATTCATTTACAGTCATTAATTACGGCTTAATCTGATCTAGTGTTGTTATTATTTCACAAAATATTTTCTTTCCTAATTCATTTGTTTAGTTGTCATTCAAAAAGAAGTGTAGAGAACGTGAAAAATATTTTGAAATTAAACACACTAGTAATATAATTTTTTTTTTATTTAGCAGTTATTGACTAATAATAAGCAGAGTAGTATATCTTAAATATATGTATATATATACATATTTAAATAAATATAAGGTACCACGTCTAGAACTTTACTGGGGACCCTCATCCTCAGAGAAGACAATAAACGTACCTCAGGGAAAACTCAAGGTTCTCCCCGGAGCTGTTGGAATATTTTCTTCTCCTACCACCCCCTATAATTTATATTATATATGTACTTTATTAATAGACAGAATACATTGATAGAAAACACAAACATGAGTACATTGGTATAATATATCAAAGGTTATAAATTTCCTCCAGCTCCTCCGAAGCCGGACGCTAGCCCAGTATGCACCATGCGTTTCCCCTCTGGATAGGCGCCAGACCAGTTCAGACTTAACTTCTTACAGGTCAAAGTAATCAAAGTCCAGTATATTACATTAGAGAGAGCGATTTGACAGTGACAGTAGACCTCTTACAGTTAACAGAACTTAAATATAACATATCCTTGAGACGAAGCTCACTTCAACCATTATGAACAGTCTCGCTCTTGCCTTGCAACAGTTCTTCACACAGTTGTCCCTCTGTCACTTTGTTGATGTGACGCTTGCATTTCCTTTTTTCAAACTATTTTCTCTTCGCTCATCTTTAAATTTCCAATTATTTTCCAGAAATGGTGTCTTTCGTGTCTGAGGCGACATCATGCACAGAGACATAAGGGGCACCACTTACCCTCCGCCAACAAGACCTACGGTTGCATAATCTGTCGCAAATAAAATACACTGAACACATTCTGTCTTTAAAACATAAATTTACTATTCTGAACTAAGTAAGAAAAAGTTTTCTTGATAAGAAACAAAAACCATGGGTGCTATGTTGCCCTTGCCACCAGTCGACTTCCTCGGCGTTTACCTATACCGCTTATTCCCAAGATCGCCACTGCCAACAAGCACCTTTTCCTGCTGTTTTACTTGTTCTTTCCACCTTGTCTTTCATCCTAACTTTCAATTATATCATCAAACAGGACTACTTATTAGTCCTGCTTAATGGCCAGGCCTGATGGCCCAGCTTGGCTGCCTTGTGTCTGATGGGCCGGCATCGTTGCCTATCATCACTCATATTGCTTGACGGTCTTTCTGTTGGTCTTAAGAAGCAGCAGGAGGTAGCCTATTATGCGATACCCAAAGATGAGAGCGAAGAGGAGGCCGACATCCAGTCCCATGTTGTCCTGAAAGAGAGCAACATCCAGGGGTGAAAGAGATTAGTAACTCTTAGTTCAATAACTGTACTTTCAATAATCAAATACAGATAATTTGGTAGATAACCTTCAAACTGGTCAGCGGCGAATCCGTTTGAAAAAATATTTAACGTATTCAGACACAAAATTATATAAAAAATTGGCCAATAACACAGAGAAAATAAAACAGAAGATAAGAAGAGTCACTATATATAGGTCTTCATCAGAGGTAAATAACCCACAAGTTGTAAAATAAAGACAGAAAGGCATTTTTTTTTTAAACATGAGCCGTCTCCCACCGAGGCAGAGTGACTCCCGAAAAAGAAGAAACAAAGGATTTTCTCCTTTTTACATTTAGTAATGTGACCCTTCCTCATGGTGGATCAGAGCCTGATCAACCAGGCTGTTACTGTTAAGAACATAAGAACATAAGAAAGGAGGAACACTGCAGCATGCCTGTTGGCCCATACTAGGCAGGTCCTTTACAATTCATCCCACTAACAAGCATTTGACCAACCCAATTTTCAATGCTACCCAAGAAATAAGCTCTGATGTGCAAGTCCCACTCAAATCCAACCCATCCCACTCATGTACTTATCCAACCTAAATTTGAAACTACCCAAAGTCCTAGCCTCAATAACCCAACTAGGTAGACTGTTCCACTCATCAACGCAACCCGACGTACGAACCACAGCCCAGCTGGTCAGGTACTGACTTCAGGTATCTGTCCAGCGCCTTCTGGGAGGCAGTTGTACAGTCTTGGGCCCTTGACACTTACTGTGTTGTCTCTTATCGTGCTAGTGGTGTCCCTGCTTTTCACTGGGGGATGCTACATCGTCTGCCGAGTCTTTTGCTTTCATAGGGAGTGATTTTCGTGTGCAGGTTTGGTACTACTCCCTCTAAAATTTTACAAGTGTGTATAATCATGTATCTCCTCCCCCTGCGTTCTAGGGAGTACAGGTTGAGGGTGTGTGGGGTGTTAGTGAACATGTGTGTGGTTTTTGTTTAGAGAGAGAGGAGAGAGAGAGAGGGAGAGAGAAGAAGAAGAGAGAAGAGAGAGAGAGAGAGAGAGAGAGAGAGAGAGAGAGAGAGAGAGAGTGTGTGTGTGTATGAGTTAGTTGTGTGTGTGTGCTTGGGAGTGTATGTATATGTGCGTGTGTATGTCTGAGACTGCTCATAAATACTCACCTTACTGTAGCCTAGACTTTCAATAACCTCCGTCCCTGTATGGTAACAGAGAGTACGGTTCTCCTCACAGTCCGAGAACTTTTCAACGTCGGCCCACTGGTTGATCATGAGAGCCTCGTTACCGTAGTTGAACCACGAAATGTACCTGACCCACACAAAGTACACTGGCACCGAGCTGCAGGGGCAGGAGAGTATATCAGTGGCGTGCAGTGTGGTAGAAGTGTGGTGAGTGATGTGTGGTCATCGGCATGTGGTGATGGGTTTGTGGTGATGGATGTGTGGTGATGGGTGTATGGTGAGGATTGTGGTGAGGGGTGTGTTGTCAGGGGCATGTTTTGAGTGATGTGCGGTCATTGGTAAGTAGTGATGGGTTTATGGTGATGGGTGTGAGGTGAGTGATGTGTGGCCAGGGGCATGTGATGAGAGGTGTGTTATCAGGGGCATGTGGTGAGTGATGTGTGATCAGGGGCATCTGGTGAGGTTTGTGTGGTGAGGGATATGTGGTGAGGGGTATGTGGTGGGGGGTATGTGGTGAATGGTGTGTGGTGAGTGGTGTGTGATGAGGGGTGAGTGGTGTGTGGTGAGGGGTATGTAATGAGGGGAATGTGGTGAGAGGTATGTGGTGAGGGGTATGTGGTGAGGGGTATATGTACCAGTAGTCAGTAAAATCTCAACGCCAGTATCTCTTTCTCTATCTCACTCTATTTCAATATATAATACATTATATAATATATATATATATATATATATATATATATATATATATATATATATATTATATATATATATATATATATATATTATATATATATATATTATATATATATATATATATAAAAATGTCGTGCCGAATATGTAAAACTGGTCAATTAGTAAGAACTCATTTAAAATTAAGTCTTTTCTAAAATTTTCTCTTATACGTTTAAATATATATTTTTTCATTAATATTAATGTAAAAAATTTTAAATTTGCTTCAAAAGAATCTTAGAAAACTTACCTAACCTTATTATAACAGAATAATTTATTTTAGCCTAACCCATCTAAATATATTTTAGGTTTGTTTACAATAATTTAATACTAAACAAACGCAGTGAAATAAATTTTTTTCCTTAGGTTCAGAATGATTTTGGCGAAATTATTGCATACACAAATTTTCGTTTGTCCTATATGGCAACATGAGCGTTGCTATTTAAGCCAAGATCGCAAATTCTGCCTATTCGGCACGACATATATATATATAATATCGTCCGAATATGTAAAACTGGTCTATTAGCAAGAACCCATTTAAAATTAAGTCCTTTCAAAGATTTTCTCTTTACGTTTAAAGATACATTTTTTTTCATTAATGTTAATGTAAAAATTTATAATTTTGCACCAAAAGCATCTTAGAAAACTTACCTAACCTTATTATAACAAGCGCAATTTATTTTAGCCTAACCCAACTAAATATATCTTAAATTCGTTCACAATAATTTAATACTAAACAAACACAGTGAAATATATTTTTTTCGTTAGGTTCAGAATGATTTTGGCGAAATTATTGCATACACAAATTTTCACTTGTCCTATATGACAAGATGAACGTTGCTATTTAAGCCAAGATCGCAAGTTCTGCCTATTCTTTCAGAGTGGTTGTTTTGCATATTTTGAAATCACCTGTTTACTGTGATCTTATTGCATATATATTATATATATATATATATATATATATATATATATATATATATATATTATATATATATATATATATATATATATATATATATATATATATATATATATATTATAAATATATATATATATATATATATATATTATATAATATATATATATATATATATATATATATATATATATATTATTACATGTATATATATAAAATATATATATATATATATATATATATATATATATATATATATATATATATATATATATTCTACTTACTCAGCACTGAGAAAGAATCCTCCAAACAGCATGAGAGGAATGAGGAGTGGAGCGGCGATTACCATAGCCATGGGTACCGTCCTGGCTAAACACGACACCAAGTAACCTGTCGGGAAAAAAGAGAGAGAAAGGCAGGGTTACATCATACACTCGGTCGATGGAATTTTAGACTTTGCCGCTAAAGCAGCTATTTTGTCGAGTGCCCCTTATTTATCCAGTGGACGCTAGCGAACGAGCCTATGGATACACAAAAGATTTAACAGGATTACATCAGTTTATATTTACAATTGATATCTATTTATTGCAAGCGTATCGCACAGTATATACAGTATCTAATCTCCATATTCTTCAAGCCACGGTATGGGTGGTGGATCGAACTCACGGCAAGTGAGTCGTAAAACTCAATCAGTTACTTATTGTAGTGTTCAAGAGAGAAGTGTACAGCTTATATGTGATATTAGATTATGCATATACTAGATAATATACTACACAAGTAATACGGTTGACATGCTCACATGTGCCTTACTAACCATCCCCAGACCAATAAACTATCCCCAGACGAATATACTAGCTATCCCTAGTCACTATATTAGCCTTTCCTAGTCCACTATACTAGCCTTTCCCAGTCTAATATATTAACCTTTCTCCAGCCCCTCCCACCTGACGTTCTTAGTCCACCATACTTCCCCCGGTTCACAGTACTATCATTCACTATACTCCCCTTGCATCATTTAACTGTATTAACTCCCCCACTCCACACTAGTCTCCCCAGGTCATCCTATACTTCACTAGGCCACCCCAAACTTTCCTGAGCTCCAAGCTCACTGCTTACCAAAGGAGATGGCAGCGTTGGCCACCAGCATGAGTATGGCCATGCAAACGAAAAAGTTCTTGGCATCTGTTGAGAGACCTATCATGTAGTAGGTGATAGCAGTGAAGACGGCAGGTTGTATCAGCGCCAGAGGCAGCTCAGCCAGGTTCTTACACAGGAAGTAGACGCTAGTGCGGTACATTCCGTTAAAGTGTTCTCGCAGGAATATGGGCAGCTCGGAGCAGAAAGTCTGATAGGAAGGAAGAATTAGAATATAAGAAATGAGAAACACTGAAGCAGGCCTTTTGGCCCATACTATTAGGCAGGTCCTTGTCAAGCCCAAACCCACCAACATAAATATTTGCCCAACGCATTTTCAATGCTACCCGAGGTATGCTAACCCTATTAACTCATCTGTAAGTCCCACTTAAATCCAATCCCACTCACTCATGTACTTATTTAACCTAAATTTGTAAGTACCCAAGGATTTAGCTTGAATGATCCACTAGGCAAACTGTTCCACTCATCGACTACTCTATTTCCAAACCAATACTTTCCTATATCCTTTCTAAATCTAACCTTCTCCAATATGAATTCATTATTTCGGGTTCTTTCTTGGAAGGATATCCTCAGGACTTTGTTTATATCTCCAATCTTAAAACCTATTTTCTACTTATACACTTCAATCATGACATACACTTCAATCACGACTTATACACTACAGTCAGAAGGAGAAGTGGGAAGGGCAAGAGAGAGAGAGAGGAAGGAACAGATGAATGGTACTTATAGTTTCTGTTTTTGCACATTGGAATTTGCAAGAATTTAGATCCATCCACATCTCTTCCAAAGCAAACCCTTATTTAAGGAATTCTGCCACTCTCCTCTCTGCCACTCCCCTCTCTGCCACTCTCCTCTCAGCCACTCTCCTCTCTGCCACTCCCCTCTCTGCCACTCCCCTCTCTGCACTCCCCTCTCTGCCATCCCCTCTCTGCCTCTCTCCTTTTTGCCTCCCCCCTCTCTGCCTCTCCCCTCTCTGCCAACATGGCTCACATCAGGCGGATAAAACCAACGAACTTACTGCCAGCTGAGCAGGAACAATATGTGTAAGGCAATTTACCAAACGTCTTCATCCGCCCAAGGTTTAACCTGGGTGTTATAGTCGTTAGCCGAAAAAAAACATACCATGGGCGGGATTTGAACCCGCGGTCAGAGAGTCTCAAAACTCTACACCGTCGCGTTAGCCACTGGACCAGCTAGCCACAATAAGCTTCGTCCAACTAGGTATATTTCTACACCATAGGAAGGTTAGCACAGGCACCACTGTGACCACAAATGCAAGTTTTTACAGACGAATCTCCAGCTAGCGTGGCCGGTAGCCGAAGACTGTATACTAAGCAAGTAGCCACTGGTTACTATGATGATCCTTGAGTGGATGTTTACTTTGTCTCTAGTATCTAAATAAATGGCTCAGAGAACCGACAAGTTGATACATTAGACACATGTGCAACGTTTAGGCATCTTTAGTGAGGAAACGGTTCGCCACACAGTGGCTTCGTCAGTCCATACAAAGAAGAATGGTGAAGTTCAGAAGAAGTTTGAGGTAATCAGTCCCTCAGCCTGGAGTCGATGTAATCAGTCTTGAAAAGAATGATGGACTGATTACAACGTCCAGTATCTGGAGTGATTGTTGGTTTGGTTAATTATTCCTGTAAAGGATGTTGTTTAGTTTTCTTGAATCTTGGGTAAATATATATTTGAATTTTGTTGTCAGGAGGCTGAATATTGGGTAGAGTCTATGAAAAAGTTCCATTTTAGGCATTGTGTGACAAAGCTGACAGCTGGGTATCACCTATGATAAAGCTGACAGCTGGGTATCACCTATGATAAAGCTGACAGCTGGGTATCACTTATGATAAAGCTGACAGCTGGGTATCGCCTATGATAAAGCTGACAGCTGGGTATCACTTATGATAAAGTTGACAGCTGGGTATCGCCTATGATAAAGCTGACAGCTGGGTATCACCTATGATAAAGCTGACAGCTGGGTATCACCTATGATAAAGCTGACAGCTGGGTATCACCTATGATAAAGCTGACAGCTGGGTATCACTTATGATAAAGCTGACAGCTGGGTATCGCCTATGATAAAGCTGACAGCTGGTATCACTTATGATAAGCTGACAGCTGGGTATCGCCTATGATAAAGCTGACAGCTGGGTATCACTTATGATAAAGCTGACAGCTGGGTATCGCCTATGATAAAGCTGACAGCTGGGTATCACCTATGATAAAGCTGACAGCTGGGTATCACCTGTGATAAAGCTGACAGTTGGGTATCACCTGTGATAAAGCTGACAGCTGGGTACCACCTATGATAAAGCTGACAGCTGGGTATCGCCTATGATAAAGCTGACAGCTGGGTATCACCTATGATAAAGCTGACAGCTGGGTATCGCCTATGATAAAGCTGACAGCTGGGTATCACTTATGATAAAGCTGACAGCTGGGTATCACCTATGATAAAGCTGACAGCTGGGTATCGCCTATGATAAAGCTGACAGCTGGGTATCACCTATGATAAAGCTGACAGCTGGGTATCACTTATGATAAAGCTGACAGCTGGGTATCACTTATGATAAAGCTGACAGCTGAGTATCACTTATGATAAAGCTGACAGCTGGGTATCACCTATGATAAAGCTGACAGCTGGGTATCACTATGATAAAGCTGACAGCTGGGTATCACCTATGATAAAGCTGAATGTTAAATAATTGTAATAACGCTGTCACCCCCCCCCCTCCTTATTAAACTATTCAACCGTGGTATATAATTTTTTTGTGAGAAGCTTCAGAAATTACTATTGGAATTAATTTTATCATTATTGTCACTATTACTATTAAGGTTCCTGTTATTATGATTTTTATTGTTATAATTTATGTAACATGGTAAGAGTACAATTAATATACACAGACCAACATCTGTAAATGATTTACTAATATCCCCATTACTGTTAAAGATGTAAATTAACTAAAGAAATGTATTAAACTACGGCCATTCTCGCTTAGTGATAGTCCACTGTCAGTGGTTCCAATATGATTTCACTGGAATATTGTTTAACTGTAATATAATGCATTAATTAATTTTTTTTATGTGTTAGATTATTTTTCTAAGTGTTATTAATCACTGTAATAATTAATGCCAGTGTTAATAAGATGTAGTGATTAGGTTAAACCACTGTTAAGAAGTTTTTACATAGAGGTTATTTTAGGGTGTGAGATATGCTCAAGAAACTTTGGAGGGAAGACGAGGACAGAAAACAGTCAAAAAAGAAGGTTTGAGCTTGCTACCACCTGCAGCTCACAAGACTGCCATCCCCACGAGCCCCTTTGGGGCGGGGCAGATGGCAGACCAGAGGCCTAGCTTCTCCCTACGAGCCCCGTGAGGGCGGGGACTGTGGCTAGGCCTGGGGACACTTGGTCCCAAAGATGAGGGGGTACTTGTACCTCCTCCCATGGGAGACTTAAGTCTCGAGACACTCCCCAGATAGGGAGCCAAGGCCGGGTCACCACTACTTGGAAAAGACCCGGGCCGAGAGAATACCGGCGAATAAAAAAAAAAAACAGTCAGTACTATACCACTTCTTTGGACCTAATCTTAATAGAAGATCCACTGTCTGCTGCTAACAAGATTTAGCAACCAAATAGGCACTATGAAGATATGCCAGAGGCTTACTAGAGTACTTTACGACCCTAGTCCTGGAGGATCAGACAAGACATGTAATCTGAAGACCATAAGGTCTCTGTGCTAACCTGAAGAAGGAATATGTAGGCCAACTGGATCAGGAAAGTACTCAGATATAGCATGATAAAGCAGGGGAGTTCCTTGGAAACCCATGGAGTGCGAGCCATAATTTTTACATGACTATGGCATGAATTATGTGTCCTGGTGTAGCAAATGTTAAGTTTCGGATCCCCCTGTAATGTGTGTGTTTATTAAATTGTAAGTTTTTTTTTTATCTGGGTATGTTTTATTACCTCCTTGAGCCATGTTTATAGGTTCCATTTGATATATATATATGCAAGGAATTCGCAACAGCAGGCGAAATATACAAACACTGATCTCTGGCTGAAGGAGACTCGAACCTACGAACCTTGGAACAAGGTACGCAGTGCTTTACCAATCTACCCACACTGGACCATGCTGATGCATGCAGGGGATGAGATGAAAAGCTGTAAGCCTTCTCCCTGAAAGCTGGCTGCCTTGGATCAAAGTCTAGCGCAAGCTGGACTCCAAGGTATTGGTTCAGTTTGGGTAGATTGGTAAAGCACTGCGTACCTTGTTCCAAGGTTCGTAGGTTCGAGTCTCCTTCAGCCAGAGATCAGTGTTTGTGTATATTGCGCCTGCTCTTGCGAATTCCTTGCATTGTTAATATCTCTAGTAAGGCTGATGCATGCAGGGGATGAGATAAAAAGCTGTAAGCCTTCTCCCTGAAAGCTGGCTGCCTTGGATCAAAGTCTAGCGCAACCTGGACTCCAAGGTATTGGTCCAGTGTGGGTAGATGGGTAAAGCACTGCGTACCTTGTTCCAAGTTCGTAGGTTCGAGTCTCCTTCAGCCCGAGATCATGTTTGTGTATATTTCGCCTGCTCTTGCGAATTTCCTTGCATTGTTGATATCTCTAGTAAGGCTGGTGCATGCAGGGGATGAGATAAAAAGCTGTAAGCCTTCTCCCTGAAAGCTGCTGCCTTGGATCAAAGTCCCAGCGCAAGCTGGACTCCCAAAGGTATTGGTTCAGTTTGGGTAGATTGGTAAAGCACTGCGTACCTTGTTCCAAGGGTTTTGTAGGTTCGAGTCTCCTTCACCAGAGATCAGTGTTTGTGTATATTTCGCCTGCTCTTGCGAATTCCTTGCATTGTTAATATCTCTAGTAAGGCTGATGCATGCAGGGGGTGAGATAAAAAGCTTTTAAGCCTTCTCCCTGAAAGCTGGCTGCCTTGGATCAAAGTCTAGCGCGAGCTGGACTCCAAGGTATTGATCCAGTGTGGGTAGATTGGTAAAGCACTGCGTACCTTGTTCCAAGGTTTTGTAGGTTCGAGTCTCCTTCAGCCAGAGATCAGTGTTTGTGTATATTTTCGCCTGCTCTTGCGAATTCCTTGCATTGTTGATATCTCTAGTAAGGCTGATGCATGCAGGGGATGAGAATGAAAAGCTGTAAGCCTTCTCCCCCGAAAGCTGGCTGCCTTTGGGTCAAA